TTAAGGACACAAAGTCCTGAACTTGGAGTAACTGAAATTAATCATATTACCATGATTTCATTCTCAATCTTTTTTTCTGCTACAGCTATTTTCTAATTTATTCTGGTAACTTCAGCTTGCAGATCCTTCTTAAAACTCTCAAATAATCTCTGAATCAAAAAACATAAAAAAAAAGTGTCGTAAGCAAAAAATAATCAAATAAAAAACTAATGCTATTCAAAGGCAGAAAGACATACTCTAACAAATTCCTTAAGTATGGCTTCATCAAATTGTGTGGAAGAAGGCCTTGAGCTTTGATCTTGTGAAATTGGCTCCTCCACACTAAGAGGCTCTGTATCTTCTTCTTCAACAGGAATAAATGGTGACACCTCGATCAACTTATACAACTATTATATGATAAAAAGTAAACATAAGTTTTCAGAACTAAAACAAATAAACAAAAAAGTAGCTAGTAATTACATTAACTTACATTTTCATTATGGAAGTATTTTTTACAAAGAGAATCAAACTGTGAGATTTCATTTCCGAATAACATAACATCCGAGGATAACCAGATTCTTGGAAGTTCACAAATTGTTTTTCCTGGAAAATAGGAATTACTTCCATAATCCAAACACAAAAGGCGAAAGGAAAGCCAAGTATAGTGTAGCTATCCTTGTCTTTATCTTTGTCTTTCTCTTTCTCAATCTCATTCTCATTCGGCTTCAAACAACTCTTCAATGATTTTAATAGCGTGTCATAAGAAAGAGAGCCCCAGTTGAAAGAAGAGCAGAGTGCATCATCATCGACAATTTTCATTATCTGCTCGGACACATTCCTATTCTTCCGCTTGCCCATCAAAACAGATTCAACAAAATAAACTGTTGCCAACTTCACAGCATCATCATCGCTGCCTACAAATGACGAAGCTGTACCATGTGGGTGACTAGAAATAAAATTAAACAAATCACCCAACTCAATTCTATCCTTTCCGGGGAAATAGACTTTCGAAAGCCTATTCTCTTTCTCATGTAAACCTTTGATGTCCAGCGAGGAATAACACTTCAAACCAGTAATTAGATGAAATGGGTCACGTGTAAACTTAATTTCACGGTCAAATACCTTGAATGTCATCGAATTAGGGTCATTATTTCACAATTTCTGAAAGCGATATACAGTGAATAAGTTGACCACAGAACTTCACACTTTGTAATCGGAAGAAGTTGCCGAAAATACCATCCCTCAACTTCTTCCACTGCCTGTTTGACAAAAAACTTTTAACTGTTTTCTTATACTGTAAATCTCCTTTCCAATACACCATAAAATTACGCCAATCCTCAAACTTGAACACACGATCTCCTTCCATTATCACACTACAAAGAAGGAAAAAGAAAACAAAGATTAGGACTTATAGTTAGTTGGAGGGAATTGGTCCTTAACTTCAAGTTTCACGTAAAAAAGTTAAGGACAAGCAATCCTTAACTTAGAGTTTAAAGTTGAAAAGTTAAGGACAATAGGTCCTAAACTTCAAATTTGTAGTTCAAAAGTTAAGGACACTTGGTCCTTAACATCAAGTTTCAAGTTTAAAAGTTATGGACATACAGTCCTTAATTTTGAATTCCAAGTTCAAAAGTAAAGGACACTTAGTCCTTACCTTAGAGTTACAAGTTAAAGAGGTAAGAATAGGCAGGCCTTAACTTATAGTTTCAAGTTCAAAAGGTAAGGACACTAGGTCCTTAACTTCAAGTTTCAAGTTAAAAAGTTAAGGACAGGCAGTCCTTAACTTATAGTTTCAAGTTGAAAAGTTAACGACACTTGGTCCTGAACTTCAACTTTCAAGTTCCAAAGTTAAGGACACTTGGTCCTTAACTTCAAGTTTCAAGTTCAAAAGTTAATGTCGTTTGATCCTTATCTTTCATGAACACAGTTAACTAAAAATTCAGAAACACAGTAAGCTTATGAATTTCTACGACTATTTTTATGAAACGTCCTTACATAATCAAATATATTGAATCAACCACAAACACATTACACATTTCAACACCAAAATTTTCTGAATAACAGCATCACAAAAATACGCTACTTCTCCGACACTGAATCAACTTATAATGATCATTTTTGAAATTTCACATATACTTGACACGACATTGAACGCGATTACACATATAGAAAAACAAAAATGCATAAAACAAAAAAAAATTACCAGTTAGATCGATCGATTCAGAGAAGATGACAGAGAAGATGAAGAAGAAGAAAGATTAACTGAAGCTCGTTTGCATGCGAAGATGATACAGTAGCAGGGAACACGCGAAACTTGCCCCTCTCTCAAATTTCCCTCTTCTGAATGAAAAAACAAGGGTTTTGGGCCTTTTGGCATATGAAGGAAGGGTAAAATAGTCTTTTCCCTATTAGTAGTGGCTATTTTTGCTGAGCATTATAATTAGTGGATAAAAATTAAAGACACCCTTAATTAGTGGCTACTACACGCCATTTTTACCATTTTTGAGCTAAGAACGACTCTGACTAGGCCCACCTGTCCCACTTCAGTTTTGGCCTATTCTCAATAGCTTTACAAGTCAGCCCGTTTCTTATAAATTAATGAATCGTCTGAATTCTTCTAGCTCGAGAAGATAAATAAACTCAATAATCTCATAATTAGTAAATGAACAACTTTGAATATTCGTAGCTTGCTTTAGGAGAGATCAATAATAAATTATCGTGACTATAGGTATGGTTCTCGTGGCATAATCATGATACGTATCTCCAAATTTAAGTGCAGATCCGCGTGACTTGACCTTACAACTTCAAAGTAATAATAAAAATAAACATGTTACGAACCGTGGATGCGTTTCACGCGGCGCGATTTACGACATGTGTAAAACAAGTGTACAACATTGTAACTTGTTTAATATACTTCTTAAATATTTAAAATGCACAAATAAAAGCGGACATAGGAAAAAACATAAAAATCAAATAAATCACAGTTCATTCAGAATTAATTCAAGTCAAGTTTAAATCAATAAAGCGATCGTTCAAGAACCACGGGACTCAGGAAATACCCTATACCTTCTCCCTAGTCAACAGAGTTCCTTACCTGAACTTTATTTCCGCGGACTGATAAAATAGAGTTAAACCTTCCTTTCACTAGGGATTCAAATAAAAGGCAACTTGGAACACCCAAAATCAATTACAAGTGGCGACTCTGTAAATAAAATAATTCATACTCAAATTTGTCAATTCAAATGGAAAAACTCTTTTAATCAATAACAATCCATAACATCCATATATCTTTTGGGGTAAAAAGGAGGTGTTACACTGGCTACGAGATTGATTTATTTAGCTCACAAGGAATTATGTTAAATGAGAAGATGCATTGGTTGACTCGATTTGGAATGTATATTTGTGGACGTTATGACATGCTCATAATTTCCTTTGATTTAGCTGATGAGATATTTACTGAAGTTCCAAACGTTGATTTTAATGTCGACCAAAAAATTGGCGACTTTCACCTAACAGTTCTGGGAGATTGTCTTGTTGCTGCTATAACTTTGCCTCACCAAAATGGTGGAGCAATAAGAATTTGGGTAATGAAGGAATACAATACGAATGAGTCTTGGATGAAGGAGTTCATAATTGGAGCTTATACAACAACAACAAATTCTGGCATACAACATTTGCAACCATTGATAAAAGTTTTATGCCTGTCGAAGAATGGAGAGCTCTTGATGGATTATAGATGGGGAAATTTGGTTTCATATGACCCTCAAAATGGTGTCTTTAGGCTTCTAAAGTTTCAGGGAATATCTAATTTGTTTCAGGGGGTGCCTAATTTGTTTCAGACAATTGTTCATGTTGGTGGCCTTAATTAGATTGATATACCACCAGCAGATCTCTGAACTTACCATTACCTTCATCGAAAAGCTTAGTATGTACATAATTTAGTCCTCTTACGCCATTCCTAAGTTTTTCTCGGACACAAGCAATCGTTAGAGAATCGTCTCGATTTTCTACGTAACATAGTGTTGCAGGTCATTCATGCATGAGGTATAGATAAATGGTTAATTAGGTGTGAACTATATCATCTTCTGTGTGATAAGACTAGTTTTCAGGGTTGTTATTTGAAACATGCCATTTTCCTAAGGAATTTGTAAGTTGAATGTTCATAGCCTATGCGTGAAGTGTATGCTTTGGTGGCTAAACTTTGGCACGTTACTTAATGAGATGTGTTGGATTCTGTCACGACCCAAACCCCCGCACTGGTCGTGATGGCGCCTCTCATGAAGACAAGGCCAGCCAATTAACACAACTCGTCTTTACAAAAAAATAGTTAAACAATAATAAGCAATTTAAATATGATTTACTGATATAACTAACGGAAGCACAAACCCGACACAGCCCTAATCGGGGTGTCACAAGTCACTAGCGTCTGTTAGAGTGTAAATACAACTACAAGGTCTAAAATATACAAAACAGGAATAATGAACAAAGAGAGAAAGGCAGTGCTGCGAACGCTGGCAGTCACCTCGTTAACTCCTATAACTCTGCCACTGATCAGCCAAAACCCGCTACCGGGTGAATAAATACCTGCATCTGCACACGAGGTGCAGGGAGTAAAGTGAGTACTCCAACTCAGTGAGTAATAAAGGTAAATAACAACTGAGCAGCAAGAAATCACGTAAAGCAACCAACATGCTATGTAGAAGCAGGGTACAATCCTTTGAGAAAACAGTGAAGCTGTGAAATCTTTAGAAATATCTTGGCTCAGTTTAAAACTCCTTTGAAAATAGTCTTTTCAACAGTTGCAAAATAATTTCAAAACAATTAGTGCCGATATGCACAGAAATCCGCCCCTCGGGCACAAATACCACAGTGTAACAAGTAAAGACAAGTAAGTATGCAAGATGAACACATAATGGCTCGCCCCTCAGGCAATATCTCAAATCAGTACCAGCCCCTCGGCTAACTCACAGTCACTCATATCAGCCCCTCGGGCTCACTCTCAGAAACACTCGTATCAGCCCCTCGGGCTCACCATCAATCACTCAGCATAATGGGTACCCGCGCACACTGTGGGTGTGCAGACTCCGGAGAGGCCCCTTACGGCCCAAGCGCTATATCAACATAAGGCCTGAAATCCTTTCCACATCACTCATAAGGCCTGAAAGCCTCCTCACAACACTCACAAGGCCTGAAAGCCTCCTCACATCACTCATAAGGCCTGAAAGCCTCCTCACATCACTCACAAGGCCTGAAAGCCTCCTCACATCACTCACAAGGCCTGAAAGCCTCCTCACATCACTCAAGCCACCTCGTGGCATATAAATATATCTCAGGCCCTTGGCCTCATATCACTCAGCATATCCTCACATATGGCCCTCGGCCCCACTCAGTCCGAAAATCATGACAAGCCCCTCGAGCATTAATAAAATAGTAGTTCTCAGCCCAAAACATCATTTATGTTTCAAATCTGAATAAAAGTGGCTGAGTTTGTAAAACAGTAGATATCAACAGGACTGAGTTCAAATAATACGTCAAACAGTGAGGAAACAGTGATAAAATCCCCGAAGGGTTCAGATAATTGGCACGAAGCCTAAATATGGCAATCAGCCCAAATCATGATAATAACAAATAAGTTTCAGTCAAATACGCGATAAAATCATCAATCGGGACGGACCAAGTCGCAATCCCTCAATGGAGCCCTACCCCAAGCTCGCTATCCGGCGTGCAAGTCACCTAAATATAGCACTACGGTGTGCAATCCGGGGTTTCAAACCCTCAGGATATCATTTACAATCATTACTCACCTCAAGCCGGCCAAATCTCTAGCTCGCTATGCCCTTGCCTCTCAAATCGGCCTCCTTGCACGTCGAATCTGACCAAAACCACAACGAATACGTCACAATATGCCAATGGAACAATACCCAATCGAACGAAGAACATCAAAAATCACGAAATTTGCAAAACCCGAGCCCCGGGCCCACTTCTCAAAACTCAGAAATTTTTACATCAACGGGTTCCTTATCTTGCCACGAGTCTATACATACCAAGAACTCCCAAATCCGAGCTCAAATGACCCATCAAAACCCAATTTGAAATTTCAAACCTCAAGCCCTAGTTCTTCCCCCTTTTGATAGATTTTCATGAATTTTCTAGGTTGATTCTACAATTAAGTCATGTCTTTAGTTCATAAAACTCACCTCCAATCAATCCCAGTCGAAATCCCCTTCAATTCCCGTCCAAAAGCTCTCAAGGATGCTCAACAATGGAGGAAAAATAATTAGCTCGCGGAACAAAATGAATTTTTAAAACCCTTCTGCCCAGCATATTACCGCATCTGCAGTGACCTTTCCGCTTTTGCGACTTCCGCTTCTGTGGAGCTTCACTTAATGCCCAGGACCGCTTCTGCGGTCAAAATCCGCACCTGCGGATTCCGCTTCTGCGGACAACTATCCGCTTCTACGAAAATTCCCTAAGGCCCAACTTCGCTTCTGCGATAAAAATCCCGCATCTGCGGCTCCGCAGATGCGGTACCCAACCCGCACCTGCGATCCCAGGCCTTCCCTTGACCTTCCGCTTCTGCGATACCTATGCCGCATCTGCGAGACCGCTTCTGCGGTCCCAAATCCGCAGAAGCGAAAATACCAGAAGCAGCAGCAAATTTCCAATTTCACAAGTCCAAAATTTATCCCAATAGCCTTCTGAAATCACCCCGAGGCCCCCGGGACCTCAACCAAACGTGCCAATCCATCCTAAAACATCATTCAAACTTGCTCCAATCATCAAAACACCTCAAACAACACCAAAACCATCAAATTACATCGGATTCAAGCCTAAGTTCTTCTAATACTTCCGAAACTCGCATTCGATCAAAAACCCGACCAAACCACGTCCGAATGACCTGAAATTTTGCACACTCATCCCAAATCACATAACGAAGCTACAACAACACTCGAAAATTCCATTCCGACCCTCGGATCAAAATCTCACCTATCAACCGGAAATCGCCAAAATACTAACTTCGCCAATTCAAGCCTAATTCTACACCGGACCTCCAAAATTATTTTCGATCACACTCCTAAGTTACAAATCATCTAACGAAGCTAACAAAATCATAAAAATTCTGATCCGATATCATGTACAAATAAGTCAACTCTTGGTCAAACCTTTCAATTTCAGAGCTTTCCACTAAGACTGTTCCTTCAAATTCATACCGATTTTCGTGAAAACCAAAACCAACGATCTACATCAGTCATAATACATCATACGGGGCAAGTCATGCCCGAGAACTGGCGATCAAAGTGCAAAAGCTCAAAACGACCGGTCGGGTCGTTACATCCTCCCCCACTTAAACACACGTTCGTCCTCGAACGTACTCAGAGTTGTTCCAGAAGCCAACCAATCGCTGAATAACCTTGCCATGCATATACCCGGGGGTGATCCCATGTCACCCTACCTCGTATAGGTCCGATAACACATTTTAACTGAAATCACACAATCCAGTCTAGCCCATAAATCATAGAACCACATTTCTCTTTCCGAAATCACACATATGGTTAAAACCTCACATCTATACTCTGAATAGTCCCGAACCAGTTGTAATAACCCGCACCTGCAACCTCAGGTGCAATTATGTGATATACCGCATAACTCAAACACTCGAAACGATAACTTCTATTCACAGCAGTTGCACATAACAACCGAATATCGATAGGAAACCTCTTATCAACTAAAGTCTCATTCCAACACTTTCACATACTGCCAATGATAAAGGAAACACGCAATAAATCATAACCATTTCTCAGGTCAACCATTCATGAAGTCACTTCCCGTTTTGGCTAATACCACAGCAGATTTCCGAGTCGAACCTCGATATTATCCTTCCAACAAGCTAAAATCAAATCCGCTCGTATTCATTAATGACCCCAACGATCACCTCGAATCCAACACACCCACTCTGGTGACATGACACATCGATGCAGGCCTAAGCCACGACTCGAATAATTCGCGTACCGATAAGAAACAGTCTGAACATACTCAAGTCATGAAAAATGATTCAAATGAAAGAGTTGTACCTCAAGCTCACCAGTACCACCACAACACAAAATTGAGAACCCGTCTCACATCATAGAATAGAACCCCCGAATCTAACCTGCAAGGTCATATCTCCACATAGCCTCGCTGCAATACACGATCCTATCCAAACACTGCTCCACATGAGACACCTCAAGTCACTATGCCTGAAATTGACAACCACGCACAATTTGATGCCTAAAACCAAAGCGAATCATTACCCCCTCGGTGAAACAAGTAACATAAACCACGCAAACCCGATAGGACATAACCGATACGCCACCCACCGAGCAACACCCAATCACTCTTCCTGCTCGACTTCCACTAAGAACCCCAATAGAACCGCACCAATGTGCCCATAACCAACAAATCATAACGCCTCGCAACACAGAAGGCAACTCATAGATCTCCCAGATCACTGATAAGCTCAACAACGATCGAATCAATACCTCCCTCAACAATGCCATTCGGAGCCAACCATGCCGACTCAAGATAGAACACTCACTCACAAGACCCCAAATAAGAAAGGCAATCCTTCCCAGCCATCCGCTAGGTCTTCGAAATATAAAAATCCCCAATAGGACATAATCCGGCGAACATCGCCACTCAATCCGTGGCATTTCTCGACATAGCCATCCGTGCCATCTTATCGCAATAGTCCAGAATAACACAACACGGAAACAACCAATCTACACCCCAATATCATATCCCAAAACCTAACATACCAAGCAAAGAAAGATCCACTCGGGCCTCCAAATCTCGGTAGTCACTAAACAGTGCTGATACACACGATCTACAA